GATCAAATTTGTACATCCAGTTCCGTTACCTATGTATGACGCTTCTTTTGCAAAACAAGTTGCGTCACGCGTGCGTCGTTTTGAATCTACTAACACCCTTGTCGAGAGAGAGAAAATATTTGTACTTCCCGAACTTCGAACTTGTGCGCTGTCTTGTTCAAATTCCTTTGCTTTATTTCTGCCCTGGATTCGCACACGCTACTCACACTTATATTTAGCACTCGTTGGCCAATCATGTGAGCTTCGTTTGATTGGTTGCAATTCGAACCTCTATCCATTTAATTGTACTGCGCGTGCGTGCTGAGTATCTCCACACATCCTTTATGGTGCTGCTCTGGTTTGCTACTTTTTCGGGATGCAACTAATCGGCTTCGCTTGTTACCCATGTCCATGCATGCTACTACCTCTGCACCGTTTTGGACTGACTCTGCGGTTACCCCAGAAGCAGAATTCTGGGAAGATTGGAAACTTAGTTTTTCAGGTTTTATTTCTGTGCTACTAATTCTCAATCCATCCGTGACACTGCAAACGCAGGATAAGTTAAAGCTTTTGAGCTTGCAACTCGGCTCAGAGGGTCGACGTATACTTAATGCTCTAGAATTGCGGGTGAAACCCACGTTGACAGAGGCCTTATGAGCCATCGATAAACATTAGTGTGTTCGAGTGAGCGCCTATACTTCTCGGTACAAATTTTCGCAGCTGAAACAAGCATCTGGTGAATCAGTGGATGCACACATTTCCCGTCTCTTTTGTTCTGTTCAAAAGTGTGACTACAATAGTATTCCTATGAAAATGTTGGAAGACACTATGCTAATACAACAATTGACTTCTGCTTTTATGGATTCTTGGATCAGAGTGAGTCTCTTAATAGAGGACGCAGAAAAGCTCACGTGGGACAGGACGTGTGACGTGGCTCGCGCGAAGTTCGCAGTCACGGAACAAAACAATGTTTTCCTCTCTAACACAGGAGTTACTGAAATTGACGGGTTGGATTCTACACGCTCTCTGACTCGATCCGCAGTTAGAAATAGGTGTTGCCATTGTAGAAACGCTGAACATAGTGTAAATGATAAACGTTGTCCTGCGAAGAGTGAAATCTGCCGGAATTGCGGTAAGAACCGTCATTTTGCTCGGGTTCGTCGTCCCGCGTCATTTTTCAGTTGCTTCTGCAAATGACTCTAGAGCTTCTTGGGTTACCATTGTACAGTCCATATATGGCGCTAATGAATGCGAACATCCAATTACGTCTCCAACTCAAGAACTCCAACTGACTTCACCAGATATTCGTCGTGTGTTTTTTGAAGATAAAAACAAAACCATTTGTGTAGACATGGAACTAGATTCCGCGTCACCAATCACAGTTTTGCCATATTGTTTTTACAAACAGCATTTTCGTCACCTAACTCTACATCCTTACGCTAAAACTTTCAGCAGCTACTCCAATGGTGATGTCCACATACTCTGCTTTCTTACGGTTTCAATGTTTTTTATAAACAGTAGGAAGCGTATAGTTGAAGTTTACATCTCTAAAACTGATAGTATGCCCCTATTGCGACGAAATGCCATGGTTTTATTGGATGTATCACCGTGCGTCAACTGGATGAACATTGTCAGCGTCAACCTTCATTCGTTAGGTTCCAGTTACCCAAATTGCTTTCTTTGGGATATTGGGAGAGCCTCAAAAGCAATACACCGCATTCGTTTGAGCGTGGATTACAAATCCTTCAGCATTTCATTACCTAGGCTTGTACCTCTGATCAAGCGAAAGGCGTTGTCGCAAGATTTGAGAAAGATGGTCACGGAATACTTGATAGAACCCTTACAGTGTTCTGAATGGGTTCATGCATTAGGTGCCGTTCATTAGAAAGATAGCTCTATTCGTCTTTGTACCGAACAGTGAGCTTCCAATCGGCATATCATTGTAGACAAGTTCCCTCTGCCTTCTTTCAACCAGTTGATGGTTAGGCTTTCAAACGCCAATCTCTTCCCAAAACTTGATATTTAAAGTGCTTACTGCCACATGCCACTGACTGCAGATTGTCGACATTTGACTGCCTTCCTCACGCAAGACGATTTGTATCAATGAAAAGTGTTACCGATGGGCCTTGGTAGTGCCACAGCAGTTTGGAAGAAATTTAATACCTTATCGTTATCAAATCGCAAGGGATATGCTGCGTAAATGGATGATATTTGTCTGTTAGTAGCCCCACCGAATATCAGGAAAACCTTCATAATGTGCTGCATAGACTGAACTAAATCTCCGCCTGAATGCCAGCAAATGCCAATTCGCTGTAACGGCGGTAGAGTTGATTGGATATCTTATTTCTATCTCGGATATTAAGCCTAAGGTGCAGAACACCAGAGTCATTCTTAATCCTCCAAAATCATGCAATGTTACAGAGATGAAACATTTCTTGGGTTTGTGTTTTATTACCTTCGACAATTAACGAAATCTGCGACTATTGCCGAGCCGTTACGAAGGCTGACACGTCAAAACCAAGCGTTTCTTTAGGCCACTGAACAAGACAATGCTTACATGACCATACGGGCCAAGATGGAATCCACTCCCACGGTAGCAATATTCAACGGATATTTCAGATGTTGGCTTGGGTGCACTTCTGTTCCAGCTGCACGATATCTATGAAAAAGTGATTGCGTACGCATCGCGCAAATTGTCTGATACTGAAGGGAGTTATTCCACCGGCAAGGACAAGGCCCACGCATGCAACTGGGAATTTGAGAAAGGGTAATTTTACTTATTCGGATGTGGATTCACTTTGCGCACCGATCAATATGCTTACAAGGCTAATAACGCACGGTAACAAATGCCAAAAGCTGGTACACTTGTGTCGCTGGTACTCACTTTTATTGAACTATGATTCCGAAATAAAATACTGCCATATTGCTTTAATAAACGTGCAAATGCCCTGTCAAGATTCCCATTGTCCAAAAAAGGGTAAACAAATACTTAGAGGCGGTAAAAATGATATGGCAACTATCAGACGGAACACCTAGCATAGCGTTTGACTTTAAACGAGAGCACACTGAAAAGACCCTGTCCTAGCGAAGCTTCGAGTTACATATCCACTTCATGGCCCCGTCGTACTAAGATACAACTTGAGTTACTTCCATACTATACCCTATGACAAGAGCTTTCTACTGTGAGCAATTGCATTATTAGAGGCGAGCAGTTTGTTTTCCCTTCAATCCTTATTCCTCTGGTGGTTGTATTTGTGCATGAAGGTCATCCAGGGATTGTGCGAACAAAGGCTCGGATACGACAAAACTAATGGGTGCCGAAGATGTATTCATGTGTGGAGGCGGTTATTCGGGAATGTTACGCCTGTCAACAAGCCGATAAGAGTGCGAGGCCCCTGAATGCTCCAGTTCAACCTGTCGTGTACCCAATGAAGCCATGGGCAAAATTTGTCATCGATATTATGGGCCCGTTTGCTAATACACCCCCGCAGGAGCGAAACGTGCTAGCCGCTACTTGTTTCCACAGAAAATGGCCAGAGGCTAGTCCATGCCGTCATCATAAAGTGGTTCCGTTGCTTGTTTCCAAGGTACGGTTTGCCAGAAGAAATAATAACTGATGATGACTCACAGCTTCGATGTAACGAGAATGCTAAATTCTTAAGGCGCACTGGTATCAGACACCTGAGAACTGTACCTTATAATCTCGCAGCGAATGGACTCCTCGAAAAAATTATTCGTATCTTGAAAGTATATCTACAAGTTCTTCGGCTTTCGAGAAAATACTGGACTGATGCGCTGATGTCTGCATTGGAGGTATACAGAGCCACTCCACATACTGCAACGGCAAGGATCGACTCAGGGCTAATGCTAGAGCTAACAATTCGAACTCCATTAAAAGCAGCCTTTACATCAAAAGAAACCACCGATCACAGAGAATACGAAAGAGGGACTGTTTAGCAGGCTAAATATAGACGCGTTGGAAAAACATATCCTCCATCGACATGTGATCGTGTGAAACTGCCCTATTCCCGTGATTGAGTTAATGGGTTCGGACCCTCGGCCCGTGTGGAATCTGTGTGCACGCCAGGAACTTACAAGTTGACTTGTGAGACAAAGGTGAATGCAAGACGGCTACAAACAGCGCTTTCTCAACTTGCTATTGAACAGACGAACACACATACAACACAGTGCTTGGTACAAACTAATACAAACATACGACGTTCCGGTAGGATACGCCGGCCTGTATGCCGATATGCTTTAACTGATAACATCACTTGAAAATTCTACAGGGTGCATACGTTAAATTAGATTGTTCATGGACATGTATTTTTATATTTTTACGAACAGAGGTGGGTACAATTTCCTGATCAAAACTTTGCATTGTTTTCGCCCTAGATTCGCTTATTCTACTCACACTTTTATTTAGCACACATGGGCCAATCGTGTGCTTTTGCATTTGATTGGTTACAATTCGAACCTCCATCCATTTAATTGTACTGCCCGTGTGTGCGGAGAGTATTTTCCATACATACTTTTTGGTGCTGCTCTGGTCTGCTACTTTTTCGGAATGCAACTTTCGCATGTATTCGTAAGAGTTGATGGCATCAAACGATCCCTGGCTCCACCATGTGAAAGATATGTCAGATTCCTCCAACAGAACGACAAGGTAGGTGTCATTGATCGCCACGAGAAGCATGAATCAGTACCTATAAACCGTTTAAATTTTGCCTATATCGACAACAACGTTGGCACTACAAAGTTGCCTGTTCTTCCGACAATGACGCACTGTGACAAAGTCCGCTGTGATTCCTTTACCAAGGAGGACTAAATCAAGCCGACTGGTACGTTATCCTCGGCGTTTTCACAATACGGTTCATGTTCTTTGCTTAGATTCCCATTCCCATTTTCCAAAATAACAATCAATATCAAAAAGTTTTGAAAGCACGAAGAAAGCGTGAAGCGCTTTGAAAACCTCAAAGAATTATCCTTCAGTAACTTTAGTGGCGCGTATGACTCACCACTAAATAAAGTCGCAGCCACTTGCCCATTCTCTTGCTCGTACTCACTCCACGAACGCTAGTCTTCCAGTACGAAAATCTCCTTTCACCCTTTCTCAAGCAGATGACTGACCGAACACATTGGCAGCTACGACGTCCCGTTTACAAGTCGAAGCAAACAGTTACAAACATTCCTACCGACATACATAAATATATCCACCACATGGATCTAGTATGATACTGCTAACCCTGCAACATTACTGTACCTTTACCGATCATTCGTGTTGACATTACTATAATCATACCTATTTAGGCATGCCTCGCGTTGTTTAGAATATACTGCTTATTTACTTATTTAAAGTTTCCATCCCCTTGTTTATCTACTACCACTTTATCCCATCTTTTCAGCTTCTTTGTTTATCGACTCCTTCGTGTCGTATGATCCCGAAGCTACACCAATGACTACGTTCTCGCCGGATCAATTGGAGCGATTGAATCCGGTTGTCCAACACGAGATCGAACACCTTCATCAGTTGCACATCTGTGTGCAGTCCAACACAAATCCGCCCTGCATTGATGATATGGAAACCTATTCCACCTGTATGGATGCGGGTGAATGGAACGCTAGCTGCCACCTGAAGCTTACCCTGGAGAAGGAAGTGAGTTATCTGTCGACGTGTTTATCGCTTCCCCCCTCTATTCCATCGCTCTTTAGGACATGCATCTCATTGGACATTGTTCATCTTTCATTGTTTCCGTACGTTTGTATGCAAACACCTCGTCTGGCGAGAGCATTCCGTGTGTTGTACTGAGGACTACTAGCTAGTGTTTGGTAACGGACCTACCGGTGCCACTCCCAATTTTCTGTCGAACTTACACCGTCTACCACAGTTAGATTGCGTTTTGCATATCCCTGTTGGCCAAAGTGCGCGGTGTTTGCCGATGTTATTCTTGCTCAGTTCGAGCAGAGCATCATGGCTGCCAGCCGATGATATGACTGAAAGTAATGCCTGACCCGATAGCGCACAGAATTTGACGTACGCGTGTCCTCTCTCCCCTTGATGACCAACGCCACTTGGCATAGTCAGGAGGTCATTGACGCTCTTTGTTCTCGCTGTTGATTGTTGCGTCCTTTGGTGTTCACTTTTATTGAGCCACTTTCCGTCTGATTTTTCCCGTTTAGATTACGTCTCTACCGATTCCACGTCTTTGTGGCCTAGTTATGATGAATATGTGGGCGTGTTTTCCCGTAGCATTTCAGCCATGGGGGCCCAAAAGACGATGAACTCATTTGTTGGACACGCTTGTTGACATGGCGTTTGGGTTGGGAGTTCCTCTGTGCTCCCTCATCCATCCCCAACCGCAATCTCTTTATCCATGCGTACTACCAATATAATAATAATAATAATAATAATAATAGTGTACTTCGTTTTTTCTTTTGCATTTTGTGCTATTCCTATTTTATGTTTTCTTTTTCTGGATATCTCCATTGTATTGCGGCATAGTTGCTGAGGTGTTTCTCACCTCCTAACGTGTTACTTGATGATGACGATGGTGATGATGGCAGTTTCGAGTAGGCTGTACCACATATCAGATGTTATGTTGATGCGTCGCAGCGACTCACGCTGAGTCATGGCCGGTCATGGAACTCCAATTTTCTGTTCTTTTAGACAGTGTCAAAAGCGTCTTAATATGCTACACCTTTTAGTTTTAAGCCTGTTCTTAAATGAAAACTTATTTTTTTCTGTGTGGCTGAGCTACGTCGGCTTCCGCTTACCGATTTCCTAGACTGCGACTAACGATAGCAACTTCCATCGAGATTCTTATGGTCGCGGGTCCTTTTCAACTGTGTGTAGCTGTATCGATCAAAGATACTATAGTCGTTGACCATGATCACGCATTTTTGACCACCGAAGGTGCGTAGCAGTGCCTGGTGATAACTACGACCGTCGTTTAACAGCAGACCATCTGCTAAAGTACTTTTTGGATTAAAATCCACCACGTCGACTATTGGGTTACCTCATTCATGTACCTGTTGACTTGCGTTGTCTTCGGCCGTCTCGCCTCATTCGGTGAAGTCACGGTGTGACTAACCAAGGAGTTGGCGAAATGCCACATTTCTGAGTGGCAGCCCCGGAATTGGCCGAACCAGTAACCCTGTCTGGCATGCTTGAGTTCTGAGCCAGTGATGCTTTTGAATTCGTCCCCTTGCTTTTTACTGTTTCCCCCTTCACCAGGTAGTCATTATTTTCTATCTCTTTCCCACTTCTTTTCCGCTCTTTACACCATCTTTCTCATCCCCAGTTCTGCATCCCTTTTACGTTCGTGACAATCATGTTTGGATGGTTGTACAACTAAGGTGCATTTACTTTTTCCGCTTCAGTATCTTTTTCAACCATACACTTCTCGACAGCCAAGACTACGTAATCCTCGATTACAGTGGAATTAGCAGTTGTGTGCCACTCTTGGACTCCATCATCTTGTGACCACTAACCATTGAGATTACATGCGCGTGTGCAGGGTACCCGTACAAAACAGCGTGCTGAGAACATAGCCCAATTACTCTGTCAATCTTTTCCTGCTGCGATAATGCTTATCTCTCTGAGTGTGATGCTGTGCATTGTTTATTGTTCAACCAACATCATTTCCCCAAGAGGAGAGGTCCACATTCGGATGATATTCCCAGCTTACAGCACTTGCACTTTTTGCTCATGCTTCTGCTGGCTGCGGTATCTCTCGGTCACCGAGCACCACTTCGGTCATCTCGATGGCAAGAATCGTTACCACTGCGCAGGCCATGAGTTTGGATGCTCACGCTGTCGATTCACCTGGATCTTTCGGCCGTAAGACATCTTTTCACCGCCATCACGTAGTTTCAGCTTTGTCTGTAACGAAGCGGACTGATCTGTAGCGTAGGCCGCTCGTGTTCTGTCTTTATCTTTCTCTTAACACGATCTGTTTGAGTTCTCATGGTAGTCTTCTACGTGAATTTCCTGATCATTTGTGACGAAGTTGACACACTCAAAATGCGATTTGCTTGCATTAGCCTCAAGATCATTTTAGGTCATAAATCCTTGTTCGTCTTAGGCTGATCGATAACGAGCTTGATAATGACAATAATACTCATACACTGGTGTACACGATACTCCACGAGTAACCTCCTCCTTGCTTGGATAATAACAGTCAGAACGGTTACTTGGACTCCAGTGGTGTAATGATTGCCGCGGGTGTCTTCGCCACTGGACGGCTGTGAGGAGTATCTAAGTTCCAGTTACACGATTACGACCCCAAAAACAAGGATGACCATAATAGTGGTTGCTTACTATGATATATATATATATATATATATATATATATGTATATATAAAATCATAGTAAGCAACCGCTATTATGGTCATCCTTGTTTTTGGGGTCGTAATCGTGTAACTGGAACTTAGATACTCCTCACAGCCGTCCAGTGGCGAAGACACCCGCGGCAATCATTACACCTCTGAAGTCCAAGTAACCGTTCTGACTGTTAGTATCCAAGCAAGGAGGAGGTTACTCGTGGAGTATCGTGTAAACCAGTGTATGTGTATTATTGTCATTATTAAGCTCGTTATCGATCAGCCTAAGACGAACAAGGATTTATGACCTAAAATGATCTTGAGGCTAATGAAAGCAAATCGCATATATATATATATATATATATATATATATATATATATATATATATATATATAGCTCAGGCGCTATCTGCACACAGACTGCAGACATAATGCAGATCTGGCGGAAAAACTTTGACCGTCTCTTGAACAACCGTTCAGAGATCGACTAGCCTACTTTGAACGGCCTGAAGCAGAACGATGTGAAGGTGAGTTTGGCGGACACGTCGACACTGGGTGAGACGCAGAGAGCACTTGCACAGCTGCGAAACGGCAAGTGTGCCGGGGCCGATGGGATCCCGTCTGGAGTATTAAAGCACGGCAAACCTACGTTGATGGCTGCGCTGCACCACTTGATGCAACGCGTATGGATTGAGGAAGAGTTGTCTCCTGAACTAAAGGATGCCCTTGTGCTACCACAGTACAAGGGCAAAGGGAGCAAGCAATGTCGCACGAGTTATCGTGGCATCAACTTGCTGAGTTGTGTGGGCAAGGTGATTTCCAGAATCCTGCTCAACCGCCTCGTCATTCAGGTTGGGGAAGCTATCGTGGCAAAAGAGCAGTGCGGATTCCGTTTGGGTCGCAGCACTCTAGATATGGTGTTTGTGGCTCGTCAGTTGCAAGAGAAGTGCAAAGAACGACACCAGCCATTGTACTCGCTTTTTATTGATTTCACCAAAGCATTTGATACGGTGAACCGCGAAGCATTGTGGCTGGTGTTGGGTAAGTTTAGTTGCCCGCGTAAGTTTGTAAGTTTAATTGAATGTCTGCACAGTGGTATGTGGGCGAGGAGACAGCTGAGTGGAGAGACTTCGGATGACTTTGCACTTGTCTTTGATGTGATGCAATGCTGTGTGTTAGTTCCTGCCCTGTTTACTCTTTATCTTCATGCAATGATGTCTTGTGCTTTTGATGTGGCTTGTGCTTACAGTGTTTGTATGGGGCACCGTATTGATGGTGGGTTGTTGAATATCCGTCGTTTCGGTGCGAGAATTAGTATGTTGCTGTTCGCTGACGACTGTGAGCTGTTTGCACATAGCGCGGATGAGTTGCAACACATGACTAGTGCTCTGGTTTCGACAGCGGTCAAATTCGGGCTCACCATCAACACAAGCAAAACTGTCTGTTCCTTTTAGCCTTCACCGGAGGTGCAATCTAAACTGGTGCGGCGAATCAGCATCGATGATGACGTACTGGAAACCACCTCCCGCTTCTGCTACCTCGGGAGTGTGATGTCGACTGATCAGCAGCTTCACAGTGAGCTGCGTATCCGCGTATCGAAGGCAGCGGCGGCATTCGGGAAGCTTGAGTACTGAGTGTGGAACAACCATCAGCTTACCGTTGGCACGAAGCTGATGGTGTACAAATCCATGGTGTTGTCCGTTCTTCTATACGGCAGCGAAACGTGGACGATATACCGGCGACATGTGCGACATCTCGAGAGGTTCCATCAACAGTGTCTGCGACGGATTCTGCGCACCTGTTGGTACAAGAAAGTTGCAGACACTGAAGTGTAGCATCGAAGTGGAATGTATACAATGGACTACATACTTTTTCTGAGACACCTGAGGTGGCTCGGTCATGTGTGGCATATGGATTCGACGCGGATACCGAAACAAGCATTATATGGTCAGCAGTACTAGAAAGCGGCATGTGGGGAAACCGAAACTTCGTTACCAGGACATGATCAAAGTGAGCCTCTCACGTTCTAATCTTTATTGCAGATTATGGGAATCGAAAGCGCTTGATCGGCGTGCATGGCGCGATCTGATCACGAAGGCAGTTGCCAAGGTGCAGGAGAAGAACCGGCAATCGCAGAACCGCCAGGTGACGATGGGTTTTACATCCTCAACACTGAGCGCATGGTGCTGTGGCACATGCGGCCGCGAGTGTCTGAGTCAGACAGGTCTAGTTAGCCATGAGCGAGGTCACTCGGGGCCACCACTGAAGCGATGACGAGTCCTACAGAGAACGTAGGCAGAACCGGTGCAGCGTTTGTAGGTTCGCTGCGTTCC